CTCTGGAGACAGGGCACCGAGAGCCTCCAGCCCAGGCTGGTTCAGGCCCGGGGCTGCACACGGAGCCGTAGCGCGCTACAACCACCGCTTCTCATTTACTGGAATAACACATGGGACCAGAGCCCTTATAAGAAGTGCGATGAGGTCATTACAAAAATACAACGAGGAGTTTTTGCTTGTGTTTTTAGGCTAAACAGCTTGTGTCAGTATTACATAAAAGGAGCCTTAATAGACCTCCCACATCAAGATTAACAATTTCAAGATACTTTTTTCTTCTGCTTTTCTTTTTACTCATTAAGGCAAAAAAAAGGTATTATTTTCTCTACAGGGAGATGTCTACAGGGACATCCACTGCACCATCAGAAATGTAGGTGGACTTCACTTTATTTTTTTATTTTTTTTTACTTACACCTAATAAGTAAAACCACAGGAGATGTTAATTCCTGCAATGGAATTTCTTGCTCAAAGTTTCTGACCATATACAATTTCAATACAGAGATGCTCCTCTTTAAAGGAGATTGATCACCCATCCCGCACCCCTCCCAGCCGGAGCTCCAAGCCACACCTGCAGCAGCCAGCTAAGAAAGCAGCAAGTTTACAGCCAGTCTGATATCAAAAGCCTCCCTCACCTAGACTTTACGCACGAGTAATTTTCCTTTCGATCATTTGAATAGAGGACTTGCTGCATAAACAAAGGAAAACATTTATGCTGAGTTTGCTGCAGTTTGAATTTTATTTAAAACAACTGAACTGAACTTCTGCAACATCCAGGGAAATTCCAGAACAGTGATGCCACTCTGCATTCGGCCAAGTGTTGAATCAGGATACATTAAGATAAAGTACATAATCTCACCTATGGTGGATCAAGGCCAAGAAACTAGTAGCCTAAGGTCTTCCTAAAATCTCCTCTTGAATCCCCAGTAGTGAGGGGAAGGAACCAAAAAACCAGACACACACAAACCAATTAGAAGATAATGGCAAAGCAAGAGTAAAAGCAACCCAACCCCCCAAAAAACCTAAACAAAACTGCATAAAAAGCACATAGTAGAGGTCCCTTTCGACTCTGACAATTCTGTGATCTACACTGAAATTAACCTAGTTAGCGGATATTAAACTAGTTGCATCAATGCGGGTACTGACATAGAGGTTAAGGGCAAAACATCCCTAAACAGTCTTGGAATACTCAAGTGAAAGAGTATGTTTGAAAGCATGGTAGTATCACAGGGCTGAAGACAACTACAACACACTTTTCATATGTTTATCTTATCACCTACTTCAGCTTTCATTCCTTCAAATTTGTGATGGATTTTTATTTATACATGTGCTTAAGTTATATACGTACTGTAACTAGTACACAGACTTGATGATATTTAAATACCACATGTTTAATACATGTAACAAAACTGAGGTAACCCTTTTATAAATTCAAGGCATAGTTCTGCTAAAAGCCACTGAATTAACATGAGTTCCATTCCTTAATTTTAACCTAAGCCTTGCAGTCTAAGTTTTGAGGTTTTTGTGGAGAGGAGAAAGAAGATAAATGACGCTTGAAGCAAGTTGGAAACCAGAAGCAATAAGGAAAAAAACTTAAGTATATTGTGAGACATAGAGCTGTACTTTCTCCAGAACTTTGGAATACTAGCAATAGGGGGAATGAAAACCTTACAAGATACGTGTCTCATTTCAGTCCTTCGGTCTTGTCACTAGGGTTTTAGATGGATGCTTAAAGCTCAGAAGGGCTGTTTAAGGGAAGCAGCTCATTTCAAGAGAATTCAGAGGGATCTGTTGTCCACATCAAAAACTGGGACGTCATCTGTCCACACAGTTTGCAAACTGAACTATTCAGAGGGTCTTAATTCGAAACATGAAAGCAGTGTTCCTAGTCGCCTCAAATTAGAGTGACATTATCATTTTGTACAACAGATTTTCTGCGGCACTGCCCTCCCCCCCACCTTACATTTAATTTAGTTGTTTGGATTTAGGCAGATCCCATCTGCGTTTAAAAAAAAAAAAAAACACACAGAGACTGAAGATTTTGAATTTCTCTTTGGAAGATAACTTTTTACAATACATACAAAAATACTCTGGAAAAAACATACAACTTCATTGACAAAAACACCAAATTACAAAGAAATTCCAACAAGGCATTAGTATAACATTGGTTTCATATAATCAGAATTTATCCCCACCCCTCAGAAAAGCCTAATGTACTTCACTGGGCAGTGTTATCAATTTACAGAACCTGACTTAAGACTACTCCAGGTTTTCCTGTAGCCATTTAGAACAGCTTTCAGGGTTTATATGAAACCACTTTCTGCATGCCAGTTGCTTTCAAGACCACAGCTTGCAGGTGGGCAGTGGCAGCACAGCAGCCTTGGCTGTTGCAACGTTTAAGCACATCTTCAGCTGTGTGTTCCAAGCTCAGCTTTACTACCCAGTGGTAACAAAAAATCCTAAAGTCTCATGCTGGAGCAGTCTTAAGACAGATAAATCAGATAACATAGCATGGGACACATTTATCATCTCCACACCTTGGTAGCATCCTCTGCTGCATAATCTGCAATATTTAATTCTTGATGGGCCTCCATGGGAGGCAACATGTGTAGTGCATGGCTGTGCTAGGCAGTGGAAAGCTACTGGCTGAGGAAGCTGAGCTGGCTGTTGTGATAGATGCACAAGAGTGTATGTGCCAAGCAGGAAAATAAGATAACACTATATGCACATGAACGAGGAAAGCATAAATGAATACAAGCACGTTCATATACACTTGAAACCAGAATGTGGGTGCAGTGACTAGTTAACCCTGTTTACATGCATTCTGAATCCAAGTCACAGCACAGGCTTTTTTTTTTTGTGGCTTTTTCAAAAGCTTTTTCAGCTAGTGACAGTTAAGACTTTTAAAAAGACTAATAAGGATAACCGTTACAAGAATATGAAAAAAGTAGTTCAAGAGGAAGCAAGCATCTAACAATAATATAAAACAAGATTTTAACTGGCCATTTGCAGTATGGCAACACTAACCTTCCATACTTTGTTAGTAGCTACAATAAACATTGATAATATTAACCGCTAAACAAGTGATGCTCTTCAGCTTTACCTGAAGAGATATTGGTTACCCATTAAGGGTAAGTTTGATGGACCTTTTAATAATACGAATGCTGTTCACTGGAACAGGAGACGAAGAATCTGGTAGTTCTTTAGTGGAAAGCCCCTACAACACACAAAAAGATGCCACAGGAAAAAAAAAGTTTAAAATTCATTAATTTGGAAGTTGCAGCAGATAAAACCCTTCCTAGCTGAATTTAACAATATTCTTTATGTATCAAAACAGCATGGACCAAACCCAAATATTTACAGAGAAGGATTTTTTCACCACACCACTTTAGTTACCACCAGTTGATAGAGGAGGGCATTTTCCCCCCCTGCACACTTCTTTCCTGAACTTTTCCAGTTGAGATAATTACATTCTTGAGGGTAGGAAAAAATGAGTTGCAAGTTGCTCAACAGCCTAATAGAGGAAACTATTATTCTGCTCAGACCCATGGATAAGAAATACAGTCTCTCTACTGTGCCGATTGCTTCTAGTCTTATAACCCTTAATTTCAAAACATTTTAGATGATACAGATGAGTTGAAGCCAATTATGCACTTCAACGCTTACAAGTCTTGTCACAGAAATCAGTAGACAACTATTTAAGAGAGTAAGACATCAGATCACCTGATGGAAGGTCTGCAAGCAGTTCAGATCTTTTTACTTAAAATGAAAGCAAATCCAGAAACAAACTGTGTCAGTGCTCAGAAACATGGTTTTACATGGTTTTTCAAGTTCAACAACATGAAACTTCAGTTTCACTTCTATAACTAAACCTGGAAGGTCATTGTCCAGCTATTCAGTTTGGTAGAAGCAGGATAGGGAAAAGCTTACCAACTACTTAGAACCACCAAGTTTACAGGCATTAATAGGATGTAAGTCTTTACATGAAAAAAAAAAATCTAGCCTTGCTTTATCTATGAACAGAAAGTCACAATAAATACCGGTGATCTTGATGTGTTGATAACTGGAATCGGCGTGGCTTTTCCTCCACAGATACTCTGAAAAAAAAAAAAAAAAAGCCAGAAGGGATTTATTAGCCAGCAATGTTGAATTCATGACTTGAGAGACAGCAAGGTCTGGCAGCTGGGATACTTCAAAAGTAAATACAATAAAGGCATTGACAACCTCCACCTCAGTGTGTTTTGGGTGTCAGGTTTGGTCATGTTTAAGTTCTTGGTTTTCTTCCCCCTCAAGCCCTACAAGCACATACACAGGGTTTCAGGTATTGCAACCTTCATTCTACCAGCAAGATCACATTTTGATTTGAGGGCACACCCTCAAGAGTTTAGGCTTCAGTAGCAAGCTAAACTGAATATAAACCTATTTATTCTCAATTTCAGAGGCCAAATGCTGTAGTCTTTATAGTAGTTTTAGTTTACATCAGTGAATCAAGTGGTTAATAAGTAAAAAAAATAAATAAATCTGATTTCAAGCATGGCAAGAAACTGAATATTACCAAGTCCTCTAGTAGCAACATTTAAAAAGCTAGAAGACTGAAATAAGTTAAATTAAAAAGCACATCTTCTTGTCTATATCCATAAATGTGTATTTATGGGAGGTAGTCTAGGCAGTAGGACACTAGTCAGCTTCTCAGTTAGTCCACCAAGTAAAAACACTTCAAAATTACATGTTCTGTAGATCTGCTCCTGACATCATCTGGACTGCCACCATCTCTGAATGCTGAATTCTGGTCCGTTAACTAGAAGAGCAGAATACACAGACTCAAAATAATTGCTATACTACAATTACCTGCATGTTTGGGGGCAGCTTCCTGTCCACACATTCAACGTATTAGTAGTCATTCTTAAAACAAGATTTAGATGAGACTGCCATTTCCACACAGGAATCGCAAGCCTCTCAGACTTACTACCCAAGCCTCGAGATCTGTACTCGAAGCATTCAATACTGAGGGGTTTTTCCTAGTTGTTTTTTTGCCTCTCTCCAATCAGAGATCAAGCCACAAGAACAGCTATTTAAGACAACTCATACATAGCAATAAACCATATCAAGCATTAACCCAAAGCTTCCACAAAACCAAGATTCAACAAGCAACTCCACACTGTCATTTCAGCAGTGGGCAACCTATTGAGTAGGCTGCTGATTTCCAAAGCAGCATAACTTGCAATAAAAGCATTAAAAAAAAAAAGTAATCTGTCAGAACAAGATTAGCTTATACTTTTACAATATTTGTATCCTTTTCACTTTGAGGTAATTTTTTCTGAATTGCTTTAAGGAACTGCTTCCAAATGAACCAGTTCATTCAGCAACTGATCAGTGCAGTAACACATAAGTACAGTAGCATTCAGAGACCCTGACACTAGACCAGAAACAGTCACTACTGCCAGCTCTTGGAAAAATTTGTTTAATAGCTTTACGTTATATTCAAGACAATTTTCCATATCTACACCTTAGTAAAACTATTATCATGCTTACATTTAGATTCCTGAATCTGTTGAGGATGTATATATGCATTTCTCCTCTGTTATTTTGTTCATTCTCCATCAATAACTAATACTATTTCAAACCCTCCCCAGCATAGGCCCCCCTCCTTACCTTTTCTCTGTCTGTTGTTGTTTTAGGGCCTTCTTCCAATGTAGGTGAATGACGCCCTTTAGAGGTCTGTACAGAAGGTCGTTTAGGTGCAGCATTCTTAGGATTCGTAACTAGATTCCCACTTAACTCATGCTGTCCTTGGACAAAACCTGGTCTGAGCTGAGAAACTGTGTTGTGTTCTGGAACGGTGCAACCAACTGGAGGTCCTGATATTCTTACTGCGACTGTAGGCTTCATTTCTGTAGGCGACACCAAGCTTTCAGAGTTCAGCCATGACATTAAAGACTACATCCCAGCCACTACTTCAATACATACTTGAATCAGTAACAGGAACGGAGAGTCCCTTAGACACTGACGGCACAGCTACACGAGATATCCTCTCTCTACTGTAAGCACTGGTAGATCTCCGATATACAGCATTTCTATAAAAGTCAGATGGCTAGAGTTATAGAATGCTAGTTTGTAAAACACTGTATGTTTTGTTTCCAGAAAGTTCATGCAAGACAACCATGTACCTTCTTAGCTCATTGTCACAGCTCTACTAAGCAACACAAACTCACAGGCAACCTAGCACAAGATCTTCATTTTGCTAGATTTCAGACCACGAATTTCAACTTAGGCATTTTCTTCAGTGAGTCTTTATTTACTGTTTTCCAGATTGGTACATCCTACACTCTGTGCTGCTTTTAAACTAACATATCTGCTCTACCCATACACCTATCCAATGTTTTGGGTTGTTGTTGGTTTTTTTTTTTTTTTATGCTGCTTCTACAGTACCAAAGTCTGAACATAGCAGACATTACAGATTTGGTAGTACTGGGCTATTACTCTCCATATCACATATTCCTCCCATGCTGAAGTAGCTTATGGGTCAACAGACTTCCCAGAAAGCGGCAGGTGATTTTACTGCTCAAGTTCTCATACTGCTACACTAAGTCAGCAGCAGTTCCACCATTTCTGTGATCAAGATCAGCACTTCATTAAAACTTAATATTGCTTGGCATTAACCATACTTATTGTTAGAAAGAAGTTACCTACACATAAAATACTCCAGCTCCAGGTTACATACTGACTTAAGTGGACTTATATTCAAGACCAGATAATTCTCTGATACCAAGTTCTTCACTCCTATTTGTTCATGTACATTCTTTAACCAGTCTCCACCCACATGCCCAAATGAGATGCCAACTTTGTTCCTTGAAGCCATTAGAGCCCTCTACATAGATGCAAAGTGAGAACTCCTAGATCTCATTCACACTTAAAGTTAAAAGTAGCTTCTTCACAGCTCTAAGTTTATGTTGCTAACCTTTCCATCCCTCCTAGAGAGGTTTCCAGTTTAGATATCTTATTTAATGAAGAGGAGCTACACGGTGTTCCGGAGTCTGTGTCTCTGGCACTATCCAAAGAGCTTCCATCTGAGAAAGTCTTTTTGCACTGAATCCCACTAGCATTTTGACTACTATCTGGCATGCTTCGCTGAAAAAAAACAGTTAAAAGAAATAAAATTAAGTATTTAAGTAATTATTAAAAAAAATACTGCCAGAAGAGCCAGTTTTTTATTATACCTTCCTTTTCTGTAAGGCTTCTGCAGGCAAAAAATAATGAAGTTGCTTCCTCTTCACATGAGCTGCCTCAATCTTCATACCTTCCTTTAGCACATTGAGATTGCTAGCCTGTCTGTAAACTAACATGAAATTTCGCGTTGTAGATTAGTGGATATGTTTGCATTACGGATTTGTCATATGGTTTCTTTAGAAACAGCAAGCCTTTAAGTGTGCCAAGCACAAACAAAGAGCAAGAAGTCTCCAGCCTAACTGAACATAAATGCTACCCAAACACTCCATATATATTCTTCAGGTGACTGTGTCCCGAGATCCATATCCAAGACAGACAAAATACATAACAGCTACTGAAGTTCAAGTATGCATTTATGTGCTCAGTTACAGCTGTGGTTCGCTCACGCCGGAGTGGATTTTAACATGAACATAATACTCCTTAATCATTAGTTTTCTGGTTGAGAAGAGATCTAGACAATTTTCTGAATCAACTCGGTTTTGTACTGCTGATGAAAGACCAGACACCTTAACTGAGATTCAGACTAACTTTTTATATTTACAGTAGCTATTGGGTTTTTCTATAATCATTCTGTAACACCATGCAACTTCTCAGTAGTTTAAATGTTAAAATTCTATCTTTCCAAGAAAGACTGATTTTACAACATCTGACTTACCAGAACTACTCCAATTTAAACAGGCTTTTCTTAACTGCCTGCAAACAGCCTTTTATACAACTTAGAATGCTATACTAGCACAGCAGTTACTACAGAATTAACTCATCTATTAAGTTATCAAATAACTAATATCAGAAAGAAGCACAATTCTCTTTGTGAAGCAACTTCCACTAGAGAAAAAATTAAAAATAAAAACCAACCCTACAAGACTAGAGCAAAATGTAGGCTTACCTGCATCTGTGAAAGACTGTATAACATACGTTAAATCAATGTTTACACCTTGTGTATTTTCCACTTTCATAAATGCGATTCCAAGAAACCACCTTGACACATATCCACTCCTAAGAAGACAGATTCACAAATTCATCATTCACACACAGATGTCCACCGTTTAGATCCTATGTCTACTCTCATGGGATGAAGCAAGTTTAATTGTGGGCAGCGGTTAAAGATTAGAGTCAGCCCATACTTCAGTTCTCAGAGTATATCTGTGTGAAATTCTGTCCCCTTTAAAAAGGATTTTATGTGCTCAGAACCTTCCCAGTCAGAGCGCATACCTACAGAACAGCAGAATGTAACCGAATACCTCTCACAGATGAGCTGAGGCAAATGTATATAAACAAGTTACAATACATTGGCTAAATTGTATTTCAGAAGACTAATGAAACTCACCGTTTATTGAGTTCTTGGTTGCCAGGGAAAGACCGTGGCTTTACGTGTGCAATAGTTATAAATTCATTCCTCTCCAAGCTTCCAACCAACACACGAATTTTAGATTCCACAAGGCCAACCCTAATAAGAAATATTCACTCATTTTTAACTGTATCCAGTGCAATAGTTATATGGCTTTTTAGAATACAATACTAATACAAAAATGCTAACCAATCGCTAAGTAGTAAGTTTTATTCAGCTGAGTAGATATTAGATTTTCATATCACAGATACCATAGTTTGAGGTGTTTCCAGTGACATTTGAGCATTAAGGTTTCCAGAAACATAGGTAAAAAACCTTTTACTCTTAACAGCTTAGATAAAACTCTTCAGCCTATAAACCTGTGACAAAAATACCAACCAGAAGCAGATCCTAGCACCTCTGGCTGCATTTTGGAGTGCAGCAAAACTTTCTATCCTGAAGATGAAGGAAAAGAGCAGTAGAGAAAAAGCTCAAGTACAAGCGCCCAATTACATCTAAATACAGATGCAATACTTCCTGCAGATTGGTCACTGAAAAGAGTTTACTCTCTTCCAGTCAAATTCAAAAATATAGTTCGTTTAAGTAAAAAATGATCTAGTCAACACAATCTCATCAGAAGCTTAAACAAAAAATTAATCATGACCACAAAGGCTTTTAATTTGAATAAAATGCTGGCATGTTACCCTTTCACCTAAAACACTGCTAACTTTGAAAGCAGTCAGACACCTGTACATTCTTTAAAAGTATCTTGTATGTTGGTACAACAGAGATGTTCTATCTGTTCCCAAATCCATTCAAGAGTTGGTGAATGAAACTTGTTCTTACAGCAAACTGAAGCAAGTTTATCTTTGTGCTTTTTAGCTTTCCTAGATGCAAAACTAAGCCCCATTCACCTCCATTTCTGTCACTGCAAAAATCATCATCTTTTACTGGAGCTAGAAAGTCAGTAAAAGATCAGGCTCTCCAGTGGCCGTTACACATCTGATTACATCAAGTAATCACCATTTGCTTCTATCTTTGCAACAAGGAATATCTTCCTAACTGAAGTAGCACTGGGTAAGCAGTCTCCTTAGACTCCTTGCAACTGCTTCTCCAGATAACACAGAACATCTGACCTTCAGGCATATGAACACTAACCCTCTATGTTCCTTCTCATCATGACTCAGATTTGTAGGTTAACTTAAAGAGAAGCATTTATGCTAAATTCCCTTCACAAGATAGCTTTTAACCTTGCTCATGAACCATCTACTTAACGTGGTACTGTATTCCATATCAAGTTTCAGTTTACTACTTCATTTGTTAATACAGTTAATGATAAAGTGCAACACTGAATTGAGTTTTAATTATGTATTAAACCCACATTTAAAGCATGACTTACCATTCTATGTGATGCTCTTTGGTAGAGGCACTAGCAGTCAGCACAATATAATGTCTAGGAGAAAAGGAAAATTAATATACTAGCTCAGGATTTTACATTCCTTTGAGGGTAACCAGAACTGCCCTAAATGTATAGAATGACTTCCAGTTAAGAGATATTGTACCCCATATTCAGCACAGTATTAACTGAAGAAAAACTGTAGCATTCTGCTACATTCTAAATATCATAGTGGATTTTTTCTAATAAAAACAATGTTGGTGGCATAAGTACAAGGAATATAGAAGAAACTGTTATCCTTACTTAAGTTCATGACTATCTCCAGTTTCTGAAAAATAAATATTAATGCCATCTTCTATTTAGACTGCAAGGTAAAACTCACTGTGCTAACCATTAAGTAAATCATTTTCAGTTCAGACAACAGATTTCATACATACTTATACTTCTGAAAGAAGTTCGATGGTTCAAAGAGCTTTGACCAGTCTGATTTTCCTTCGAGAATCTCATTTGTAACTGCAAGACCTACAATTAAGATTGAAAGTCTTATTATTATTTTGTTTTTAAGACTAGCAGAGTATGATAAAACCTTTCTAAGATAAAAGTTTGGAACAGTAATTGACAGATCAAAAAGCAGGAATTCCCTTGACAAAACACAGGTCTACTGCAACAGTTCATTATAAAGCTTCCCCCTTAATGTCTGCAACAGGCATACTTCCTAGAGACCTATTCTATCAAAAAGGGCAGAACACCTTGCTGAACGTAACCAATTCGGATAATGTGGTTCATATAGCATGAATTACTGTTTTTAATCAGTTAATAAGCATGGAGAGTACTTTACCACGTTTGATCTCTTCTACCATTATGGCTCGTGTTGACATTGATACATTGTATGTAGAGTTCTGATGTGGGTAGGCTGGGGTGATAACAGGCATTAAGTGGTACCTGTCTGATGGGTTCACCTGTGTTGTTAAAATAATTTTGTTTAGCATCAGTTTAGGTTGGAAGAAAGTTTAGAAGCTTCTACATTCAATGTCTACTTACCCTAGGGTCCCATACTGGTAAATTCAGATTGCTTTCTTCAGGTTTTTTCAGCAATACAGGATTTGGCCATTCCCTATACAAGAAAAGCCAGTAACTAACTGTCCATTTAAAACTTTGCCATGTAATCCAGGGTAGGACTGAATATTGCTTGTGTACAGCTTACGTAAAAGAACTCTAAAAGTGTTATTTTATGCAAATTAGTAATAAACAGTAGCTCTTACCATATTGAAAAAACCAAGAAGAACTTGTTAACAAGAGTAGAAGCCGAAGCATTTGGATAGAGTTGACATGTTCTTGCTACCAGCATTGCCCAGGAAACCCCACCAAGAAATCCCAGCACGTTGGAGTAAATGCCACGTCCTAGAATGAATTAATTGCAGTTAACCTATGCTCTTTCTGTACCCAAGATATCCCTTCAAATTTACAGCATCCAGTTCACAATTTATAGAATACTTAAAAGTCAGTTATTTTTGCAGTGTAGTGAGGCCAGCTGTTGGTCCTTAAAGTGATGAGAAAAAGAATCATTACCATACCACTTCCCAAGACACTGCTACTTTGAAATTTGCCTACACTGCTACAGCTCCTGCTTCACTCTAACTTTCCTTAAAAGTTATTCTTCTAGCACTTGCTCAACCACATGGACAAATGTTATTTTCTTATTCCTTATGTATCGAGCTTTTACACTTAACTTGGCATTTTTATCATTTGTTGTAAGATAACTGATAAACAGTGCTGCACTTGGTTGTGTAGGCACTCCCCTCTTCTCGCTGCTCTGCACCCGTTAAAAAATATGCAGAATTTACCACATGGACAGAACTTGAATCTAAACTAAAAACTAGATTTTAGTTTAAAAATAAAAAATAAAAAAATGTCATTTGAACAGCTATCCAGAGTTGAAGTACTTCTAATTACCTTATTTTTAGATAATGAGGTGCCGCTGAAAAGTTTAAAGATTGCGAACAGTCACATTACTCACGTTTTGCCCACAGTTTAATTGCACGGAGCGCGAGCCGGAAGTTCTCTCTATTTGGAACTAAATGTAGTATTTCATCAGTAACTCTACAGCCTGCAAGAAAATTGTTGAAGTACAGAAGTTCCTTGTAACATGTAGAAATTAGTTTTATGCTATACTGGATCAATAACTTACAGTTTATCTTTCAAGTCTACAAAACCAATTATATGCTTTATAATGCTTTAAAAATTATAAATTACACATTACATTCAGTATCACTTCAGGTAACTGGTGCCCTCAATAGCTTTTTCATAGTTCAGACTACAGTCAATAATTTATAAGGCCTTTCTAAAGGATTCCAAAAGCTGGGTTTCTTTTGACAGCCAGGAACATTAATCAGCTAATGTTGAACAACAAGAAAGTTAAGCTTCAGCCATTTTAGTTTTCTATTTTTAAATTTTTTTAATGACCTACCACACATGCTTCTCTGTCAAGTGCTCTATCTATTTATCTGAAGCCATTTCTGTAGCTAACTGGAACAATGCACATACTCTGATCAAAGAAACATGAAACACGGGTCTATCAAAACAGAAAACTCCTTGACACATCTAAACTTAAGCCCACTCACCACCTCCTCAGATCTCAGCTATACAGGAGATCACGCATCTTGTACAGGATTTTGAGTTGTGTAACATGCATTCCATACTAAATTAATAAAATGCTATTTAGTAATTTTAGTAAAATGTTATTTTTTAAAAGATGTGTAAAGAGGCTTACCATTTAAACTCCGTATACATCTTATATCCAGGCTTCTCAGCCGTGAGTCATCTCGAAGATCAAGATTGTCAGAAATAGTCTGCACAGGCAGTCTTGCAAACAAAAGATCAGTCTTAAGAGGAAAAAGGTGCTGAGTGTGAGTTAGAATGCCACGCTGTTTGTAAATTGTAGACAGTCAAGACTAAGAAGTGGTTGACAGTTGTATTTAGAATTATGCAACTATAGATACATCTCTCAAGATATGTTTGCCATAGAACTCAAGAAAATAGCTAGAGGTTCCATATTTTATTTACAAAACCTTCACTGCATCCTCCCTTTCTAAGTTAGGGAAGGGAGGTTGTTTTTTTTTAAGTTGAAAAGATTACTCTAAACTTAAAATTTCCATTAAAAGGGAACTTAGATTTCAATTCTGCGTTTAATTTTAAAGTTCAACCACCTTCACTGTACTTCAGCAAAGAGGAGAGCGTTTTCTTTATGCAGTAAGCTCTTTTGATACTGAAGTATCCAGGTTTTAGTAAGAGTCTTCATCATATTGATACCAAGCAGTAAACTGCTAAGGTACTACAGCATGCAGGTCTGCATTCATTGCATAAGATGTACTCAAAATACAAGAATTCCCACAGCTGACAAAACCAGGCAGGAGTCAAATGAGTACTTTTAATTTTCATTTTCCTGTCTCATGACTGCTTCGTTTTTGATCTGCAACAAAGCATGTTGTCTGCTCACATGATTCATACAGAAAACTACACAATGCACACCCCTCTGTGGAAAGCCAGCTTGTCAGAGCCAAGAAGAATTAGCAAGGACACTGCTTCTACTCTCACCCTGCACAATCCTTGTGAGCTAAGCGCTATTCAAGCAGGCTACTCTGGTCTAAAGCACAGGTTTAAAAAAAAAAAATAAAAATGTCCCTGATGTTCCCATGCCTGCCAGGCTTCCTCATGGTTTATTTTCCTATAAGGTCCCATTCTACTTCAACGTCTTCTCCTGGGATAGGTTGTGGACAAAACCAGCATAGTCAGAGGTCCCTGGAACAGTTATCCTACCCCAAAGTAAGAAAATAAAAATCACTCATTTAAAGAATGAACGGCTTACCTCAATGCCATCAAACTCAAACTTGACAAGCGGTACATATGCATCTTCAACTGCCTGTAAAGGAGAGGGTAACTGTGTAAGAAGACTTTTTTGCTACTTTAACATTTTTCCTAACCTATGATAAAATACAGAAATTACACTGCTTAACTATTCAGTATAAACAACTGAGTTACTTCTGAACCAAAAAACCAGTTAATAAGCTGCAAGCAGTATACTACTAATACAGTACTAACACTAGCTTTAAAAAGTCATTTAGCCAAGAGATTAAGAGGCTGATCACACTGTAACGAAAAAGCAGTGCACAATGAGCCATCAGTATCGGTGGTTGGAAGATACTTACCTTGGCAGTGAGGAAGAGATTTATGTAGCTATCTTGCTACTGGTTAGCTTGCAGAGAAATCTTAAAAACTCTGTGCACATTTGACAGTGTGCACCAGTCTTTTGTATTTTAATTTTCTGCCATGCCTGAGAGAATATCAGCTACATTATAGGACAGTTTTCAATTGTGTAGACCACTTCTTACAACTGAGACACAGCCCAGAGTCTCTTTTCAGGTGACGACCATCAAAATGAAAGCTTATTAGGCACACTCATAAAGTCTCTCAAAAAGTCTGCAAAAGGAAGACTAGGCTAAGAGAAACCCTTCTCAGGAGTTCAGTTTTACGTGCAGGGTAGGCAACATATGCACCTGAGGGTGATTTCATAAGGCAGCTTCATACATTTGCATGGGCTGAGCAGCCAGAGAGAAACATGACCAGAAGAGAATGCATTAGAAGTCCTAAAATACATCCAAAGGAACACCTCTAGCATTTTAGAAGGTACTCAGACAATTTCTTTCTTAATTTTGGCTTGTAAGACATTCACCACCAATACAAGTCTTTAACATGAATACTCTCATTGTAGAAATTGCATAATCTATCAAGGAGAAAGCTTACTCACTCTTAGATTTTTTATTCCCTCCTGCTGTTTCAGTTTTTCAAAGAATGACTGAAAAAAATCTGATCTTTCCACATGTCTTGGAGCAACACAAACAGCATCTATGTCAGCACCTGCAAGAGATTCCATTTCTCCAGTTATTGTTGAAGTTACTTTCAAACATTAAAACTACAGCCTAGTGGGAGGTATCCCTGCCCATGGCAGGGTAGTTAGAACCAGGTGATCTTCAAGGTCCCTTCCAACCCAAACCATTCTATGATTCTGCAAACTATGACCAGACAACAAGACTTCTACCTTTAGTGTGTACTCCAAGCCTGTAAGACCCAAAGGTAAATATTTTGCCATGAACATCTGCTGCTTCTGAAGGGGGAAGATTCTGTGGGTAGAGGAGAAAGAGCTTAAAGTATAAGATTAACATTTACCTACATGCAAGTTTGACTAGCATACAAGTTTAGAAGGCTACAACAGCCTCTATAAACAATGTTTTCACACTCTTGTACTGAGTTGTTAGTCTAATAGACTGATACTGTTTTTTCTGAAGTGAGTGCCTGCTACTCAAAGAAAAAAAATAAAGAAAAAAAGTAATGTAGCAGTCCTTTCATTAATTTACACAAATTAAGACTTAATAATAAGTCTTCCCTGCAGAAGACAAATTAACATAACCTAAGAGCTATACAAAAGGCAAATCCAGGGTAATAATTCCAAATTAGATTCGGTGCTGCAGGCTGTTTGGGGCAAGATTAGTGCCCATTTACCATCTATCTCACCTCACAGTACGTTGTTAGCTTTAACTGCTACAAGTCAACTGTTAGAGCCACTTCACAAATTTATTCAGTGCCCTAAAGACTTCAAGATCTTGATCTGGAGTATCTACCTTATTTCAATGGCAGTTACTACAATTAAGAAGAAAATTAAAAGTTGAACTTTAGCATAAATCCTAGTAGTAGTAGTAGCCTTTTAAAAACAAAACAGGCTTAAGTTGTTTTGGTAAAACCATATAAACAAAATCCTTACCTTGCTCTCACCAAGTTCAGAAATCCATTCATTCACCAAGTTATTCAGTTTTCCAAGAACAACAATTCTGTAAAGAAAACTCATGTTAAGTTTAACTTTAACTTTAAAAAGCCAAGGCGTTAACAATTTTTACAGTCTTGTTATACCTGTGGTTCAGTTCTTTCTCATCTTCGAACACCCCAAGTGGCTTCATTGCTTCAATCAGCTTCTGAGTTTGAATGACATCTATAGTCTTTGGATGAGCCAAACTAATTGGAGAAGTAACTCCATAGTGCCTTTGAGGGTGGTTCTGCGACCTAGAAGTACTGTGGGAGAAAATAAAACACTAAAGACTTCACAAAAGCAAAAAAAGAAAAATAACAAAAACAAAAGACAAACCTTTCTGGAAAACACCATTCAGCTCACAAATTTCCAAACCAACTTGTACATTCTTACCCAACATTAACATAAACGAAGGGGAGGAAAAAAAAAAAGCCTGCTTATGATTTTTAGATAACTTGACCTAATGTAGAAGTCACAATTACTTTTTTTTATTAAAAAAAGTGGATATAAGAAAAGACCCAAGTTGCTACCATCTTAATACAACTTATTTGCATTACTGACCAGGAAGTGAAAAAGTTCAAAATCCGCTAAGATTCCACAGCACAAGTTTTGGACACAAAAGCACAAGTTTTTGGACATATTTCAGTTTTGATTTAAGGATACTCCCATCAGATTCTTACTAAAATTAAACAAGGTAAATTTATTTGCTGTGCTTCTACTGATTCTGGAAGGGCATTACTGTTATATGTCTTTCCTCTACAAACAACTCAGTAGTCTGTTAAACAGACCCGATGCAGTAAATTCAGTATTGCCTTGCTCTTGCTCTTACGGAAGAGTTTGAATGAAAACATAAACCAATCTGCAGCTAATGTTGCTAGGAGAGCCTTGTGCTCTTAACACCGTGTTCAATTTTTATAGTTCTGAGGCTTAGCTGTACATACATCTGTCTTATCTAAATCCAAAAGATCTATGTCAGCAGATAAAACAGCACAAGGTAAACTCTGTTTGTAGAGGGCGCTCAAATCTGGCTCAGCTAGCTTGCTGCCCAGTTTGGCAGAGCAGGACAACAGGCACTTGGGTTTGGAGGCCCACGAGGTTATTGCCCCTGACACTCCAATTATGACAAGGCATAATTTTCACCTTCATCTGCTTGCCTTGTGTGTTTAGACTTGCTTCCAATTAGATGCAGCACTGTACTGACATGGCAGGGCAACATTAAAGGCAGCATTAGCAGCTGTTTGGGTTTATTACAGCATAGAACCTTGCTTTAGAAAGGAAAAAAAAATGAGAAAAATCCTACTTTGCATTACCAGGTAGAAAAGCTCGCTACAGAAAAACTAGTATCGAGAAGACATATTAAAAGGTCTACACAACTCATTGTTCTTATCAAAGAGTCCACATCCAGAGCCTAAGGCTAATGGGATTAATTATGCCATTATTCAAACTGGATATTCTCCTGCTTCATATATGGATAAGTTCAAATATTAGCTGGGTTAGCCAAGAGACACTTAAAACTATTTAAAGTACCTGACCCATTTCAACTGGAATGGGATTAGGAAATACTCCAAGGACAGCTTCAACATTTGATTTTAAAAAGACAGTTTATCACACCTCCTTAATTCTAATTGTTCCCTTTACTCTTCCATTAAGAGAAGATAGATTCCCTCCTCAAAGTAGCTTCATCCAACCACAGCCATAGCTTTTCGTCTTCTAGCTCCTGAACCACCAAAAACCCAAACAAACAAGAAAACCCAAAAAACCACCACACAAACCAAACAAAAAAACCAACGCACCAAAAAAAAAAAATCAAACACCAAAACCACCCAACCCTGTGACCTTCATCACAATAACTCCAGCTACACCTTGCATTCCTGTTCACAAACCCAAACTACAAAGAGCCGGCAGGCTCCTGCTGCCAACTCAAAGCACTGTGTCCTCGGGCCCAGCGTTTAGAAAAAGCCACTTTTGTGCCCCCTCGACGTTTCAGCTGAATACACCAGGGCAAAATCCCAGCCAGTCCAGCCGTTACCAGGGGTTACCACAACACAACACAGGTTGTCTGCACAGAACCTGGCACCAAACACCACAAAAACCCAGCGGCTCCCAAAAACCAGGGCTCAGTCCTGCAGAACCCACACACGGAGCACTTTTAACCTGCATTTGAGAAAGTACTTTGCCTTCGGGGAGGTTTCTCCCACCCCCCCTCACTGAACCTCCCCAGGA